TCTTGGGGTACTTCCTCTACCGTTGATCATCGACCCGGTGAAAACGATGCTTTCCTTCCTCTACCGTCGATGTTTCTCTTCCTCCCACGTCGGTTCAACGTACGAAGACACGGCCTTCGTGTCGGATCATCAAGAATGAAGCATCCTTTGTTTGGGTGGTTTTCTTAGACCATGAGGTTCCATGGGACTGCCATAGGACTGCCGATCAGGCCAGGGGTGGTGCCAGGGGGGTCAATGTAGGCATATATATATATGCCATACATGGAGTGTATGGGTTAGACCATGAGTTTCCTTTGTTTTTCCCACTTCTTCTGATAGAAACCATCGAGGTGCAGCCACACTGTGGCACCCTGTAGCCTAGCCACTGTGTCGGGTCCAGTTCAGTAGCAGCTGCTGAATATGTTGCGATCTCCTCCACTGTCTTCGACTATCCTAATTCGGTACCCCAGTAACCGAGGTTAAGTGACCTTATAGGACCCTACCAGGCCTATGGGATAGTCTAGTTCGGGTTGTATTTCCAGGTCACCAAGAATCCACCTTTTGTCCTCCAGGTGTGAGCTTCCACTTCGACCCTTCCATGCCCAGCGGCCACCGCGTCACGCACCTCGCGTGGCGCAACGGCACGGCGCTGCTTCCGGATGGGACCTTGACCGTGGCCATGACGGACTACGCGTTCTCGACCTCGGCGTCTCGGGTAGAGAGACCGCAGCCGGGCATGCCACGCGGCGGTCGGGGCGGAGGGACCGAACGGGGATGGGCGGAGGGACCGAACGGTTGGGATGCTTGGGATGATCATGCCCAGACACGACTAATGGGACTGCCATAGGACTGCCGATCAGGCCAGGGGTGAAATGTAAGCATATATGGCAGTCCCATGGAGTGTTTGGGATGGATGATCCTTTCAAATTCAAATTCCTATTGGTCCTATTGGTCATGAGCACCCAGCAACTGTTTTGTATGGTGCAAAGCACCAAGTTCACTGAGGTATAGTTACTAATTGGAAGTCTTTCAATTCAATTGCTTGTAGGAAAACTGGGCAAAAGAAGAAGCAACATGAGGCAACTATTTGTTGCAGATAAATTACTCCAACGGTTGCTGTGCCCATTTTGAACCGGCTTGAGCAATCCAATTCAACTTCGACACATCACTTGCTAGTTTCATTTGCTTTTGGAATTTCCCTTGCGCCAATTCAACTTTGCTCGTGGAACTCAACCCCTTCCATAAACCCCAAAACACTGGATCCACACCGACCCTATTATAGCCAAACACACCCTTCCAATGCCTCCCCGGCCTCTCGCCTCGCACCGCTCGCAGCCTCTACCGGCCCTGCCCTCTCGCGCCGCGGCCGCGGGCGCCGCGCCGCGATCCGAACGACGAAGGGCTGGCAAAAGCATCGGCTCTTCGACATGGTCACCACGAACGACGCCATCCCCTTGGTCTTGGCGATCTATAGTGCCGTGGAGGTGGCGGCTCAGCATGGCCACTGTGTGGCACCCAAGGTGGAGGGGCGGATGGTGAAGAAGTCCACGTGGCTTGGCAGAGAACTGGGATGGGAGAACGTGGGAATGTGTTGCACATAGACCATAGACCCCCAAAAGGATAGAAAAGTAGATCCCCACTCCCCACCACCTAAATGCATTGGACACCGTGTCACTGGACTCTTGTAGAGACTTGGAAGATGTGTGAGAGTCCAGAGGTTGAAGGTGATTCATGCTCTTCAAACCCAGAAGGAACGTTTGGGACTGGACTGCTGGTATACATAACCTTGCGGTGGTTGAAACATGTTGCACAGAGGTCACATTTCTTATACCCTAACCATCATTGGACCCTCCTATACTGGTATAGGATGCTCCCACATGACTGATGCTCTTTGGATCCCACATGACTCATGACTGAAGAGTTGGCTTTCTTGGCATCGATCCAAACAGCATGCGATCGTGGCCAAGTGGGTGGGGGACCTCCCTTCACCCGCTTTTTGGACTGGGCTCGAAGCCGGAAACCGGACCACCGGGCCATGAAGACGCGAGCCGCGAGCTGGCCTAAACGCCCCGCGCGCTGAGGAACAGCTGAGTCGAACGGCGCTTCTCGAGCGCGCGAGAAGATCTCCCCGCGCGCCCAGCGTATTTGCTGGTCATCGCGGTATTGGGCTGCGTGAAGGCTCTCGGGAACGCCCCCCAGGTTCGAGCCAATGGCCGAGCAGATGTCAGCTGCAAAAGCAGCAACAAGATGCAACAAGTACCTATTTTGGATACTCTCAGAATGTGGTTCTAAGATTCTTGTAATATACCAGGACCCTCCGACAGGTCACCAATTGAGACCTATTAGGGTCCAACAACCCTCAACTAACAGCCTGTTGGAGGGTGCTGGTAGGAGTAGGAGACAGTAGCAGGAGTAGGAATGTTCCGCAAAGCATCGCCGTCCGATCCCATAATGATCCGATGGCGATTTCATGCGTTTTCTAACCGGACGGGGTTCGTCAGGGAGGGTAGGGATGCCCAGAAGGTCCAGGGAGGAGAAGTTTATCCATTAGGTTTCCTGTGGACAAGATGATGTTGCTCCATGCTGGTGGTTTACCCATGTAAAGGTATACATTGTACTTCCTATTTGGGTCTGTCCTGTGTACCTTGTTGGTGATAGAATCGACCCAACCGATGTGTACCTCCGGTACGGTCTCTGGACGGAGTCAGACACTGGGTGTGACGAGTCGGTCGTACCGTTCGGCCCCCCAGGTCGGCCGTCAGGTCCATGGAACCCCCAAACGACTGGCGGTTGGGATTCGGAAAAAATCGTGGAAACCACGGGTCAAGTCTCAGGTTCGTGAGTTGGTGGGGGAGTAGTTATATGTCCTTATAGCCTTTATGGCGCCATTGGTGATCAGAAGTGCTTACGAGTCGGTCGGTCGGCGGAGATCCGGGGGAGATGCGGGGAGCCACCCCTTTGAATCTGTTGAAGTTGCCAGTCGCTGGCGCTGTAGAAAAACGTTAGTGAGTTCCAGGTGGCAGGGCGAGTCGGCGAAGGGGCCGGTGAAAACGCAGAGAGTTGTACTGCTAAAGGATGTTCCTGTTTTGGCTTAGGACTGAAGGTGCATAGTTGTTTGGAGTACGTGCCGGATGTTATGTGAGCCAGGAAATGAGCAATGCTTGGCGAGGTTGGCCAGCCTACCCTTGAACCACAAACCAATGAATCCATGATCAAGAAAACACCTCTTTCTCATGCGACGATCCGGCCGCTGGCCATGTAGACAGTTGGTTCACCTGCACCAGGACCCACGGGGATTGGGTGGTGAATACGTAAGGGACAACTATAATTCAGAGATCCGGCTTGGTGTAAGACATTTTCATGGTCATATACCAGGACGTTCCAACAGGTGTTTTTTGGACACCCCTTAAAATTCACCTCAGACAGAGGCTGTTTGACACCTCCGGAAGGTCCAGCTAACTGATGATTTGTTGCCTTGCCACCTGGAAAAGACCCGCATTTCCGCGGACATCAGCTGCGGCGTTTCCTGCGCTTCAAACGAAGCCCGCAGTGGCCGCAGTTGCCGGTGCCGCGAGAGGAAAAGCCGCGCCGCTCGGCCGGTTCAGCGAGAGGCCGCCCGTGCCAAAGGGGACGGGGCAGGCACCACAGCAGGAAGTGCGTAGAAGCGAGACGAATCGAGGGGAAGAGAAAACGAAAGGATTGCTGGACCGAGGATTGGCGTAGAAGTGGGGTTTAGAACTGGGGTCTCCCATCACTGGTGACATGTTGTGACGAAGAACCGGATGAGCGACACATTCCCCGGATGATTTGCCAGGTGGAGGCTGCATGTGGAGATGTTGGGACTCAAAATTAAGAGATTCTTAGAGCCTCTGAAGGCTTTGCTATGGATAACAACTTTCCACCCTAGATGGGCAGGTCCAATTGGGGAGTGTGTGAGTATTTGTTAGTAGCCTGTGGATGTGTTTAGATCGACAGGGTCCATCATCAGATTCGAATCTATCACCGGCTCGCGGCTCCTAAAGACACGGATCGGCTGGGCCCCACAGGGGGGCGCCTGTTTGTGACATGCTCGGCGTGGGCCTCACGGCGTCGCAGTGCGGGCCACAGGGCGTTCCGCCTGACGCACCCCGACGCAGTTCGATCAATGAAAGCCCCGACGTCGGTGGTTGTGGCAGTTGGAACTGAACGTCCACGCCTAGGGCCTCGATGTTGGGCACCGTTTCGTGACGGACAGTCCTGATCACTCTAGTCAGACCATGAAGCCAATGCTTTAAAAGCCTGCGTTTGCTTTGAATGAAACACGAAACGGGGGTGAAACCCCAGAACCGGGAAAGGTTCGTGTGTTGTTTGTGTTCTTTCCCAGTTCCTTCTAGCAATCTAAAGCTTGGATTCCAAGTTGAAGCTGAAAATAGTCAATTGGAAAGCCCATGTCCACTTACCAGGCCACTGTCCTCAGGTTCTCTACCCTTTTTTGGTTGATGTCTAATTTACATGGGGGTCCAACCGTCCAACCATCTCTTGGGGGTTGTGCCCCTCTAAAGTGTTCGAAATGGTTTTGTGCCCACCATCTCTGCCACTATACAGGTTCTTTGCCGTGGGAACTCTTTCAGCACAGCGATTGGGTGGATAGTCGTTTGGGGCAGAGTGGGGGGGTATATACTTTAAGCCCCAAAACTGTCAGGCTTCCCAGTGACCAACCACGCAGTCTGAGCGACAGGCCTAAGCTGGCCAGGCTGAAGTGACTAGGCTTCCCCCCGTCGGGTCAGCCCAGTGGTCACCCCTCCCTGGCTCCAAGTACCTGGGATTTAGAGGGTCCAGTCATACCTTCTGAGGAGGTACTTGGAGCCCCAGGGCCCCAGGGCATGGGGGATTCTCCAGATGATTCTCCCACGCAAATCGGCCGCTCCGACCTCGCTCGACCCTTCAGCGACCGCGCGGGGCACCCGCGATCGCCGGGGGCGTGGCCACCCCGCAGTGCCCACGGCAGATCCGCGGGGGGAGCGGAAGAGATCAGCACCGCCATGGCAGCTTGGGTGCTAAGAAGTGGGAGGTTTTCTTATGGTGGGTTTGGGCCAGTTTGGGGCGCTCTCCTGATTCAAAGAGCTTCAACCACCAAGCAGGGGAAGTGGTTCCAACATGCACCTGATGAGGAGTTATTGGTTCCGCTGAAGTTCAGCGAGGACGTAGCGACCCCCAAGGGGCATGCGAACTGGGCATCCCGTGGCACTTCCAAGAACCGAAGAATCCCTTTGCTTGACGCAGTCGTAGGCTGGGTGGGGACTGGGCAGGTCAGCTGACCAGATGAAAGAATCACATTGGTTTCGAGAGGGTCAGAAGTCCCAGACACTCCATGTATGGCATATTTACATACATTGACCCCTTTTCAACCACTCCAATGTATTGACCCCTTTTCAACCACTCCAATGTAGTATAAATCTGCCAGTCCCATGGAGTGTTTGGAGTGGTTTGTTTTCTGCTCTTTTTCACCGACTACGGCGACTACTGCCCCGCCATCCTACCGCCCATTCCGCGACTCCCAGCCTACCACTAACCACCCAGGTCTTCTTCGTGTACATTGGAGGCGGTCCACGGGCCCTCGCCCTGAGCGGTGCCATGTTCTTAGCCTCCATGCTCATCCAACGCTGGGGGACCGACGAGTTCACAGGTGAGATGAGCTACTTCGAAGCTTGGCAACGCCCACACGGGTGGCACGGGCAGTGGTATTCAAGGGTGCGAACGTACATATGGGAATCGCGCAGTTTTTGAGGCGGGCGAAGCTTCCGGACGCCGCTATTTGTTCTCGCATGTTAGTTTGCCATCCAAAAGTACCTAAGTTGGGTCATCTTGTACCTTTTAGCCCGTTTGGTCTACCACGGATTTGCTACTCACATCAGCCGATCTGAGAACAGGGATATGGTGCAGGGTAGTCCATTCTGGTGACTGGAGAGCACTGGCCGGTTAGGGGCTTAGTGTCCGTTCGTAGCGTCCTACCATATGCCCCGTTCGGGTTCGTCCGATCGCTCCGTTCGTAGCCAGGCTTCTGGTTCCTAGTAGCGCTGCCCTGTGCTCCGTTCGTCGTTCGTAGCCAGGCTTCTTGTTCCTAGTAGTAAGGCCAGGAGCCCCGTTCGTAGCGTTCTTGCTCCGTTCGTAGCGCTGCCCTGTGCTCCGTTCGAGTCGCGTCCGTCTTCGCTCCGTTCGCAGTAAGGCCAGGGTTGCCCCGTTCGTGGCGTTCTTTGTAATACGTAATACCGGATAGGAGTCACTGACCCCCCGATCCAACGATCCGAGACGTTGTTCCTCCAATCAGCCTGATGTGAATCTGCAGGAGAGTAAACCATTTTTTACATATCTTTACCGTAATTACCAAACAACCATTGCTCGTGCAGGGAGTTTTTGGATCACAAAACCAGTTCAGTTCAACTTGTTGCTGAATGGTCGAACGAAAGGCGGCCGGTGTGGCCAACCGGCCAAAGATGATCATTTCTTTTTGAGATGGATGTCGGACAACCAGGCCCCATCATCCATTTCACGGGCCCTGGCAATGGGATATGATATACCATGATAATCCATGATATACCTACAAGGACCTTCCAAGAGGTGTCTATAGATAGCCGCTTAGTGGTTGTTAAGGGCTGTCCAAAAACTCAGCTCCCACGCGAATCCGCGGGACACCGAAATCGGACACGGACGGGTCCGGAGTGTCACATTGGGAATTCTTCGGACAGACGTGACCGATGGACCTGCGAAGGTTTGCGTGAAGCTTACGTAGAGGAGGTTCGCCTTCAGGTACTTGGGGTATATGGATGAACCCCACTCAACATGAACAGGTACAGAAATCATGAGATTAAGATTAGAGGTTTAAAGGTCAACTTACATTGCCAGGAAACTGAGGGAGTGACACCAAGACCACCGACCCGCATCCTGATGCTTTTGTTTCCGTATGTTTGAGTTGTGCCATCCTAAAAGATAGCAAGACTGGAGCTGCTTTCCAGACATGATCATCTTCCCAACCGCTTCCATGGATTCGACCATGGTCGCCTCCGCTCCATTGAAGGCAACACAGCCGTTCTCCGCGTTCATGTCCGCGTTCTTTGCGCTGCTTCGTCAGCAGCTTCGGCACTCTGTTCGAAGCACCGAAGCACGAAGCTTTCGGCCCCTCTCAGGACGAGCTCGAAGCGGAGCGTGGCTTCCACAGTTATGGCCTTGACCGCATGGAGCGCCTGCGCCTCGAGCGCCAACGGCGGCACCGCAGCTCCGCGCGCCACGCGCGCCACGGGCGCGGGGGCAGTGCGTCGGGCGGAACGGGCGGCGGCTTTTTGGGCGGCGGCCTGTTCGGCATGAGCGACTACTTCGGCGGCGGCTTCTTTGGTTACGCTGGGCCGCAGGGAGTCCGAGGGCCAAACAGTTGGTGTGGGTTTTAGAGCCACCAAGAAGGGGTGAGTCACCTGGGCTGTGCACTGGTCAACCTGCACACGGTCGCAAGCCGGTCGCAAGCCGATCTGCCCGCTCACGGACCCTTAGATGGGTCGAGAGTCTCAAATCCCTATGGTTTGGAGGGACCAAGGGCTCTTTAGAGCGTCTGGGGTGCATCAGATTCGAAGCATGACAAAGGATGACCATCTTAGAGCCGACTGATATGACCAGCACAAAGGATGACCAACTCCTCCATCTTTGTGCTCAACTCTTTGTCAATTGGTCTCTCCTACTATCTCTTTAGATTCGAAGCTTGGCACACCCAGCAGAGGTTGAAGAACCCGAACGTTCGACTATCCTAGTTCGGTACCCCTGGTTTTCCGGGTCCGTTCGTTCAGGTCACTTAACCCACCTCTGTTGGACCCACAGTCACTGCCCTTCGTTTGTTCGGCTTTCTGACGAGCATGGGACGGTCGAAGCAGCCCATGGGGACGTGACATGCGTCGTGCGGTGCCGTGGCGCCATGGTTTTGCGGTGCACGCGGAGCACGGTGCACGATTTCGAGAAGAGTCCATTGTATAGAGCCTCATTGGGTCAATAATGATCAATAGGTTTGGTTGAATTAATAGGTTCGTCATACATGTTATAGGTCTGAAATTTGTTGTTGTTGTTGTTGTTGTTCTTGTTCTTGTTCTTGTTATTATTCTTCTTCTTGTTGTTGTGGTGTTGTAAATAGCTTTTTGGACCTTTCAATGTCGGTCGATCGGTCATGCGCGAAGTCTGCCAAGATGAGGGACCCCTGACATACTAAGTCGCACCAGCTCCGCCACACGTCGGCGGTCTTTGGACGTGACAGCTGGCTATCATTGAGTTTGCTACGGAGTGGGAGGGCATAGGCCCAGCTGTGTGCCCAACTGAGGCCTTTATAACTTCAAAGTAGTTGGACGGGGTGCCGGCTACGCCCATAGCTTCGCAGTCATTTTGAGCCTTTCCATGCCTCATGACTTCCCTTTTCCAATACCAACCAGCACATGGCTTCCCAGGGACAGAATGCCTCACCAGTGTGGGCACCCTAAGTTCCTCACCCACCAAGCAGGTTCAGCATGACTTCGAAGGGGGGAAGCCCTGAACAATAGACCAATAACTAGTTGATCCGAGCATCGTCCTACTGCACTTCCTTACTTGAGGGTGTGACAGTGTGAAATCAACCTCTTTCCTGCGAGGCTCCTTTTGCGCAGCCATGCTGCTGTCCCTCTTCCTCTTTGCAGTAGGGCTGTTCCTTTTGCGCGCGCGGCCCGCGTTGCGACAACACTGGCTAGTACAGAGAATTGATCAAGTGCTGATGGAACCCTGGCCGCAACATGCAATGACAAAACTTGCGGAGTCTTGCGGCTCCAGCAGGCATAAGGACATAGAATCCGTCTGGTAGAACTGCATGGTAGACATGTTTCTCTATGGTTGCGCCCTGTAGGATTCTTTCGGAAAGACAAGTGGGGGCCCAATCGTAGCCGCAAGAGGTACTGGACCTTGCATGGTTTGGTCGTCGCATCAGCCCATGCCAAGCAGCCCTTTTGAAGGGTTGTTGGTCATTGGTTGATGTCGGTTGTTAGCTGCTTATTTTGAACAGTGTGCCAGGAGTCACCAAGGGGCGCCGAACTTGGAGGTGATAGGGTGTCCAGAGCATCCACTCACTTGGGGACTAGAAACCACCCCGACATGTGACTCCTGGTGTTGATTTCTTTTGGGTGGCGGCTGTGTGCACAACGACTTTGGTTCCATGGGGGAGGTGAGCCATACGATCGAAATTGATGGGAATGACTCACATGGACTGGGGTTGACACGGTTTAGATGTTATTATTGGTCAATTTTAGGTGATCAAGGTGATCAAGGTCATGGTTTATGGTTATCCGGTCATCTAATTTTTTATGGTTTGAGGATTTGTGGTTGTCAAGGTGATCAAGGAACAATTGGATGTGATTGGTCAATCTTAGTCATCCAAGACGACCCGCACTCGTCTCCTCGGAACCTGCGAGGGTCCCATACCCCAGACACGACCCATGGGACTGCCATATATGCCTATAGCATTGACCCCTCAAACCACCCCAACTGATCGGCATATTTGGCAGTCCCATGGAGTGTTTGGGCACTGAAACCCATGGATGTCAGGCCCTAGAAGAACACACAGCAGGAGGGCGAAACTGGTCTGTTGGAAGGCAACTGTCCCTTGCAAACGCTAGGCTTTTCCATGTGACATGCTCGCCGAAGTGCATTGCCATCTATAATGTGAATGCATTGACCTCCGTAGACCGCGTAGACTGGCCCCTCCCAGAAGCACCCCAACTCCGTTCGACGGTCACCGATGGAACTGTTCAGGAAGTTCGAGGATCACTCGGGTCACCTAGTCAGACTTGGACTCCCAACGCCAACGCCGAACTGACCACCAATGGACCTATGGGAGGTCAACCTACCCAGCTAAGCCTGGTTTGGGGGTGCCATGCTCGGCCGTCGCCCACGTCGCCCGAGCTGTCCGCGCAGCCCAGGACGTCGCCGCGCGCATCGAAGTTTGGATGCTGAATCTGCTGGGCCAAGAGAACCACCGAGGGACACGTGAGCGCGTGACTGGGCAAGGGTGGGGGGGTCCGCGGCTTTCGGTGTTTGGGCCCCCCTCCACGGGTTGGAGCAAGACCAAGGCTGAAGAGCATAGTTGGCTATAGTTGTGTCATGTTGTCATTTCTGAAAGCTAAAGGGGTGCCACATGTTTCAAGGTGGAGTCACTGTTCAGTTTGTATTGGTCAACTGCCGCCGGCGAGAAAGAAAGGAGCTTTCCCGTTGGACTCTATCGTTATTCGGAAACATTGGGGAAACGCAATGTCACTCATCAGCAAGGTGGTGTGATGTCTAAGCTAAGTTTTGAATTTGCAAGTTTGGAAAGAACCATTCCTGAAATGAGGAGCCTTCTACATAAATCTGGACTACTTCACACAATGAGATAACCATGACAATCCCGATCCCAGGCAACTTTCGAGGTGAGACCTCCGGTTTGGAGGCCAAGGACCTACCAAAGTCCTGCCGATCGCGACCCTGGGAACACCGAAGTCCTGCCTTCCCCAGATGTTCCCATCCTGGGATCTTCCAACTATGCTAAACGTTTGCCTAACTTGCCTGTGAATCACATAACATGAAAGGCAGACAATGACAGGCAAACAATGACAGGCAGACTTGCAACCAAAACATGCTCTCCTGTTGGTTCAACTAACTACCTCACACATGGTCGGCCAACACTCGTCGACAGAAAGACGAAGACGACCATCTCGTCGTGTCGACGACGACGACCATCTCCTTGCATATCGGACCGAGCGGTGGTCAGGTGAGTAGCGAGGAGGTGCAGAAGATTCAGAGAGCGCCTTGAGAAGACCGGCGACCGGCGACGGGTGTCTTCAAAGGTGGAAGGCAGACGAAGAGAGTGACTCTTTACATAATCTCTTGGTTTTTCTACCACTCCATTTGGATTGTAAAACTGTAAAGCCTTTTGTATACGGGTGTTTATGGGTGTGTTATTCATCAAGAGTTTACGTGACAGTAAATGTTCATCAGGATTCCCGGCTCAAATCCAATATGAGGGTTTGTGTAGAATGTAAGCCAAAACCCGTCCTCCGGGGTTTGAGTAAGAGATCTGAGGTAGGTGTCCGGTGTGCTGGGGCAGAACTGAGCAGTCAGCCTGTTTGGGCGCAGAATGAGTCGGCATATTGTTGGTTTCCGGGTCACCGGCTTGAAGGTTTTGGCACCCGAAAAGTGCGAACTGAAAGCTGGCAGCTTACTCGAGGTCCAACTCCCCAGAAGACCGGGTGGGAGTCACTCTCTCAGGAGTAGTACCCATATCCATCCTCATTCACTATTGTAGGGTAGCCTAAACCTACCATACCCTACCCATCCTCAGTACCCATACCCATCTCATTCAGGACTCAAGACACGGTCGCGTCCAGCGTTCCACGCGGAGCGCGCGTTCAACGCGGAGCGTCCCGCATCCAAGGAGACCTTTGTGGATGAGCAGCAGCTCCAGAGTCTTGGAATCCACGAGCTGTTGGGGCCGCGATCGGTGCTGTCTGCGCGCAAGCTCGGCGCGAACTGTGGTACCAATGCAAGGCACCCACACGAAAGCAGAAGAAGCAGTGATACATGGTATATACATTAATAGACTTGCGTATGCCCGCTAAACGCCACCAGCGAAGCCTACTTACCTAAATGTTAAGCATGGGTTTTCTATCCTTCTCGCTTGGAGCAGGGACAGATGGACACGTTTCAATTCATGCTGAGCGACCTGGAAAGAACACCGGCGTCGTCGGTGGAGTGGATTTGCAAAACCTCATGTGACTGGATTTCCGAAAGTACTATTGGACATCATTGCCCACAAATGTCAATCTTGTGACCTCGCTTGATCAGATCCAAAACAACATGACTGTCATTTTTGGGGGTGCACGTCGCACGCACGACGTGACAGACCTGGCACCTATATGTTTAGTACTTGTACCTATTATCCACTTCAATTACGGTGCACCAACTCAGCTGCAGGTTGGCACGACCCAACGAACGGTTTCACCGAACGGTTGGCACCTTCACGTGCTCCGGTGCGGCCCAGGAAGTGGAGCGTGGCATCCCTCAAGGACGAGCTGCGGAAGCTCCACCGTCAGGCGGGGGCCGGGTCGGGTCGGCTGGGTCAGGTGAGGTTTTGGGGGTGGAAGCCCCAAAAATGAAGAGTATACCCTATAGGATTCCAACTGGAAGGGATGGTATTAAGACCCCCAAGTGTTTTAAGAAGAAGATGGTAGTTCTATTCCATGGTTCTAATGGTCTTTAATCACCAAAGAACCATCGTTATACTAAGGGTTTTTACGCTACACCACCGGCTCAACCGTTCTTTTAATGGTCGAACTGAAGGCTAGGGAATATATATATATATATTAATTAGCAGGTGGCATGTGGGAATGATGGGGATGAAGTCGCTGATCCCTATACAGGTCAGGAATTGACCTCGTTCTTGACTGAAGTTGATGATGCCAAAACTCCAAACACAACTCGACTGAGGTATATATAAAGGCTCAGGTCAGTTGGAATCTTACTGAAGCTATTGAAGTTGACCATACCAAAAGCACAACGTCAATGAGTCCATGAGTCCATGAGCTGTGTTTGTTTTCTGTAAAGACTAGGAGACTGGACTGAAAGACAGGTCAGGTGGTCAGGAGATCGCTGCAGTAGGTCCTGTCCTCCTCATCGACGCAGTAGGTCGAGACTCAAGACTCGAGACCAAGATGCAACTTCTGAAGGCCACAGGGAGACTGGAAATGGTCTGAATCCCCCTGTTAAAAAGAGGCCAGATCTGGCAGAAAGCCAACTGAATGTTCTGGATTCTATGCGCTACTTGGATTGAAAGTATGTTTGATCCATCCAGTGCACTCTGCAGGGATCTTCTCGACGCACTCCGAAGCATGACCGGCCCCAAGTCCGTCTCGACGGGAGCCCAGGCCGAGCTGCGGATGACCTTCGCCGGCGGCCGCGAGACCCGGGAGATGTCGCTCGGAGATGTCGCTCACAGACCCGGGCGGCATCGGGCGTGAAGGAACTATTGCTGGAGGAGGAGGAGGTCCTCATTCCTTCTGAGGGGGCAATACCCTTAAGACCCATTCAAGCAAAGTGATCAAATACTGTAATCAACAATTAGATCGCTCTTTCTCTTTGCCACAGCTACCAGTCTACCAGTCTACCTGCCGATGTCGGACCTTGGCTACCATTGGCTCTTCGCGGCTCACGCGACCGGCACTGACCGGTCACGCGGTGGCATGGCAGGAGCATGGATGCCGGTAACAGGTGGTTTCTGCCACTCCTAAGCTTGCGCATGTGAAGCACACAACACCCAAAAGCTCCGACATGTTGATGCATGTCAGCACCACCCGGAGGATGATCAGTCAGCGGACGGCACAATCAACCACGAGATGGTGGGGCTGTGTGGTGAAAGGGAATTGGTGTCGGTTGTATGCCTTAAATCAGTGTCAGTCTGTGTCAGCCAAGGCTCGCTCGTGACTCATGTGTCAAGCCAACATCATTCTTTGATCAGAGGGCGTGGCGACATGTCCAGCAGGTGATGTGCATGTTTTCCGGCAGGTGATGAGTCTGATGAGTCAGGTTGTGTCTTTTGGAGAGAAAACGTACATCAATCTTCCGGACGCATTTTTTGGGACTCATTTTGAGACTCAATCACTGCACCATGCTACATCATCAAGTCTGATACGTACTATAGACTATAATACATCATGAGCAGGTGCTGTATATCATAGGCACTTTGCATCAAAAGCAAACCAGAAGGTCCATGGATCATGACTTCATGATGAAAAGGACTGATACGTACTGTATTGCTCATGCCCCCCAAAGGATCCCAGGTGTTTCGGAAGGGCAACGTGGCGCCTTCCGTGCGGCACGTCGTTTGAGGCAACAGTTTCTGAAGTCTGGGCTTGGCGTGGAGAAGGCGGAGCTGGTCCAAGCAGCTCGGCAGAGCCATGCAGAGTTGGTTCTGAGCATGTGCTCAGGTTTGGAAGGGAGAAGTTGACCGAGAAAGAGGGAAGAATTGGGAAAATTGGGAAGGTGTACCCTCAGCTTCTGTGACTTGTGTCAATATAACTTCGAGACCCCAAGCATCACTTGGTTGGCCCAGCAGGTTCGGGACATCTACTGAGGTCAGTAAGGGAGTAGTGTTTTTTTTTGTCCAGTTTGGTGTGGTCATGTCAAGTACTTCTACCATGTTCATGTCAAGTACTTCTACCATGTTTGTGTTATCATTCCACCATACGGTTGGTGGACATGTTGTTTGTTCGTTTATTTATGCGTTCTTTCTCCTGATTCCGTGGAACGCCTGTTTGCATTTTGTGACTGAAATGTTCATCCATCATTGGACCCTCCGAACTGGAGGGTTTGGGGGGTCCTTGATTCTGGTGCTTTTCATCCAGAAAGGCCCCCGATTCGTCTCCACGTCCCTCGCATCGCATCGTCATCGCATGTCGAAAACGTGCTGCGACGATGCGAGCAACGGGTCCCTGGAACGGCTCGTTCTGCTTTGGGACGAACAGTTGTCTAAGTAATGCATGGACTAACACCCTCTACTCAGCCTGGAACTAACATGAAGCCCCTGTTTGTGTAGGAAAATAGTCTTCCAATCAACCATTTTACTTCCATGTTAGTTCCAGATGTTCGGGGGAGTGCACGTCCTCATAAATTATGCTTGTTGTTCAAGCTCTTGCATGATTAGACCTGGACATCCTCAGTGACTTCTTGGACTCAGAAAGGGGGTATCTAAATAGATGCATCTGAATACTGATCTTCTTGAACCTTTCTCTTCACCTGACCCTCCTGACCCTCCTGACGATTTCTGATGCCCCCGAGCAGAATCCGGCATGCCCGACACCGTCGCGTCCGAGCGGTGCGGCATCACCGACCTGGGACGAGACGTAGAGCTGGGGCCTTCACCGCAGGCTTCACTGATCCGGACCCACATCAGTCGGGGGAGACGACCGATTTTGGGGGCGGTTTTGGGAGGGACGTTGGGCAGGTGCCATTTTGGGGGCGACGTTGGGATTTTGGTATGGCAGGTCCCATGGGTCGTGTTTGGGGGATATAGATCCATTTTCAGGGTGGTAATGATGTGAATGATGTGAGTTTGCAGGGTGGGTGCAGGATTCCTTATCTTCTCATCCGTTACCCCTCCGGACCTCCGGAGGGCAAAAAGATTCCTTACCGAACTCGAAAAGTTCTTGATCTTACCCTGCCCTAGGGATCCAAGTACCTTCTCAGAAGGTGCGTGGAGACTATTTATGTAGGCTTGGAGGGTCCAAGTACCTTCTGAGAAGGTACTTGGATCCCTAGGGCTGAAATCTTCATTTCATTCCATTTTCCCCCACGAACTCTAGTGTAAGACGATCCCAGACGTTTGCTTCGTGGTTTGTTCACCTTCTCCACCAAAAAGGACTGGGCGAAATCCAGATCCGCCCAGATCTGCCCGAGCCACGACCGCGGCCATGCGACGATCCACCGGATCCGCCGGATCCGCTGATCAACGCCCCCAGGCCGTGCTTAAAGCTCGTGGAGGTGATTCTGGCATCAACTGCGCAGTGTGCCTCTCCAACTACACCAGCGGCGACGAGCTGCGTGTGTGGCTCGGACTGAGGATCATGGGATGATGGAGATACAGAAGCTTGCAGGCTGCCATTTCTCGGATGGATGCGGATTTGGAAGTTTAAGAGTGAAAGACTATGTTTAACAAGGTTGATACAAGTGGAAGGAGGAGGTTTGCTTAATTTTGCATTGGTTTCCAAAGAGCGTGTTGTGGAAGCAGCAAGGGTGCACCTGAGAGGTTGCGTAGTTGTACTTTTGGATCATTCGGGGGGGCACCTGCACGCTGGCCTGCCTTGCGGCTGAAGTTTGATACACTCGAACAACATCATGGAAGTGGAGTTCACCACCGGTCTTTGGTCTTCAGAGAACTCATGGTCATCCGACCTCAGGGCCATCTCCCCATCCACGTTGGCCCATGATTTCATTGAGTAAAGAATCCGATAGACACATGGCTGGCTATGTATGTTAACACGAGAGTCCTTTGGCCGCTTTGGCCCAATCGATATTTGGATTATCTTCCTTCTTCCAGGGTGTTGGGACGCCTGAGAGGTGACCAGGTCTTTGGTTCACTAATGCAACCCCACATATAGAAGTCGAACCCCTAGGGAGACACCCTGGCCCAATGGATATCTGAGATCGATGTTTGCCAGGGGGCTGGGACGCCTGGAGGTCTCCCACAGCTTCGGACGAAAAGCGGCTTTGAAGTGGGACGGGGGAAAAGTAAAGCCCTGTGTGTCCCGATGGGCCGCACCGCAACCAAGGTCGACCTATCTGATCTTCAATAGGTCTTTTGGGTAAGAGGTCAAGCTAAGAGGTCAAGCTACCAGGATCTACTCAGTACTTCTTTGTTTGCTGTTCACATATGTTGACCCCTGTTGATCCCCCCCACGCGCGAAGCCCCGGACCCCCACACGTGACCGTATGGACACCGCAGGTTACCGTGTGGACACCGCTTCCACTGCGATTGCGTGGACCGATGGCTCACGCAGCAGAGCAGAACCTGTCCACTCTGCAGCAAGCGAGTGTGACAAAAGACTGGCAGTCTCGCACCGCTGCTGGGCGGCTGAGGATGCTCAGATATGCTCAGGAACGAGTTCTTCCGAGACCGGAGGATTCCCTGGAACAACGAGGAGAACGATTCTAATCCACTGAAACACAGCCATCACCACCGGGTCTCCAACACGCCACCCGTTTGGGCTACTTCCTGAGAAGATGGTTCAAGTATAACACCACCCAGCTGACTGGAAGAAATGCTCCGGAGAATGCTGTGGACCATACATCATCCCATTATTAAAGAAAGTAACCACTTGATGAGCTTGCAGTCGGAATGCGTCCTGACAGCCCCATCATTGACATCAATTCAATCCAGCATGTGCACTCAGGTGCAATAGTAATCCCTAGGACTCCAACTAACACTTTGTTGCACCAGAGCTATCATCGTTCTTATGCTGGCCTAAGGGTGATCCTTGGCAGATACTCAACCCGTACTTTGATTCATTCACAGTTTAGTCCAGATTCATCCAGTTTCGCTGGGTTTGCCAATGAATCGACTCGTTTGCACGGCGTTTTCATGGTATCGACAGACATACCCATGGGTCCCGTGGCCCCTCCGTTACGTGGAGGGCATCCCCTCGCCCATGCTGCGGAAGACTCATGGTCTCTTCAGGTGGGTGCCATCCACCTCCATGATGGTGGGCGGAAGGGTGGCAATATGTAACAGGTAACAATGACATACCCAAACACTCCATGGGACTGGAATATTGACCGATCAGTTGGGGTGGTTGAAAAGTGGTCAATGTATGTAAATATGCCATACATGGAGTGTCTGGGATATTTCAAGAACTCAGACTCGTTGGCCCCAAAAAGTTGGCCACTGCTGATGCATTGAATCGAGCCATCAGCAAATCAAGCCAATCAAGCCATCAGCCAATTCCTGGTCCAAGCTACATGGATCCAAAGGCTTTAAGGAGAGATGCAGATCGAGGCCAAGCTGCTTGGGACCTGAAGGTTCAAGAGCTGGCAGACCGAGGCATTTGCTTGTGTCAGCTGCTGGACTTCTATGCTTTGCTGGGCAAATCTGTGATGCCCGGCTTTCACCCGGCCCGAAGCACAACTAATGACGTGGTGCGGCAGGCTATCATTCCTTTATCAGCTCCAAGTCAGAGGTCCGAGCATGGACAGGCTTATGCCTGCAAAGTGGGAGAGGAAGAGACTTCATGTCATGGACTTTAGCTAGGAGGTGTTTTTTTTCTCCCATGGTTCCCCCAAAGCCAAGTCCCTCAATGTGAAGCTAATCCAAGCGGCCAATTTTTGGCTTAGAGAATCTATGACATAGAGTGAGAGTCTATGTGTGGGCGGAATATCTGAATATATATCTCCATTGGTTGGGGTGTTGCCCTCCAGCACTCCTAGGAAAGGCAGCCCGCCAGCCGAATGGTGACGCACAACTGGGACAACATCTTCAGCCACCTAGTGGCCGCCATTCTGGCGGATGCCTTTGATGTGCCAAGCTATGGGCCATTCTTGATGCATTTGGATGAGAAGTTGCCAGCGTTAAGGGATGAGCTGGCCAAGAGAGGTCAGCTGGACGTGACATGGTTGGATGATGTAGTATATTCGGTATATTGACATGTATTGACCAAATGTGGTCTGGTATGTAGGTGCATAACCTGTTTTAAACAATTTTATACGAACATTGGAACTACAATCATGGGAACCGGTATTAATGATTAACATATTAACATTGATTAACTCAGAATTAACTCAGTCATTGCCTTATCAAACCAAGCACAGTAGTTTCTTTTTTCAATCTTTGCCACTTTCACGATCATTCAGCCCCCAAAACGGCATGCTGCTTGGCCCCAACGTTACACCCATGTGTTGAATTGCTGGGCAGTGGGGGGATTACGGAATGCCCGGGCCGTTGCAGCAGTCCAGGCTAAGGTGAGTTATTGGATTTGCGCTTTCACCGTGAATCAGCACAGCAGCATCTGTGGAGGATTTGGTCCCGCCCCACGGGGCGATGACTTTGCTGCTTGGGATCGGAAACGCTATGATTCGGTCACGGGAGAAGCGTATCCGCTCTGCGGCTGTGCTACTCCGAAGTTTTTCAACAAGGATTGGGACTTGACAGAGCTCAACAAGTTTGATCCGATGATGGAATGCATGTCTCTCAGATACTCTGACATGAGACAAGTGATCGCTGTGGATGAACGTTTGGATTTGTTCACCCGGGCATGGTGTATTGCTGAAATGCATATGGCGCACAAACTCCAGATCTTGCAAAGGGTCAAGTTGTATGATTTGGACATGCTGGTGGATACACCTCATTTTGAACACCTTGACATTCAAAAGTGCAAGGCTTCCAGGAAGGAGGATGAAGATGAGATTTTGTCCAAAATCGAGGACAAAGCCAGATTCAACCACGAAGTCAAAACCCTGCTTTCTGACCCGGTGGATGGGATTTTGGTTTCCCCGCTCTGGCACAAATCTCGTGAGTTGGCCATGCGCAGCATCGAATTGAGCGACATGTTGAACTTTTTTGGGTCTTTGAGTACCATGATGCCCCACTACGATGCTCGTTTGAGCACCACATCCGATGTAGTTCGAGGCGCCATCATCCCCAATTCCGTGGCTTTTCCCAGATACCGAAGGAGTTTGGAGCGCAGCACTGCGCACAACTCTTGCACCCCACGATGGCCAGCTTTTGCATTTTCGACCGTGCTCAAGCCATGGGGTGCTGCCCCAGCCTGCTGCTTTGTAAGCCAAAACTGGCAGATGCCATTTGCCACGGTGCTCGCCCGAATCACCGCCAATGCATTGCAAAGGTCAACGTTTGGCGGAGTCCTCGAGTCGTTGTGCGAAGGTGGTTCCGTGGAGGTACTCGTGGAGGTGGCCAAGAATGAGGTGGGTTCGTGCGCTTATTGGCTTGACGCCTTTTGCATCAACCAGCACACGTCCATTTGTGGTGGGAACCCCGCTGGAGACAGAGACTCCGTCACAGGCACACAGTATTACACGTGTGATTGCGGCAATAGAAAGGCATGGTCACTGTCATTTCAGTGTGAACTGAATAAATCTCAAGAGGTACTTGAAATTTTGCAACTTAAGATGCCATCGCTGCGATGCATTTTTCTGGTGGATGAACTGCATTTTGCCCATCTGTGGTGTGTAGGCGAACTCTTGGATGCAATGCTTTTGGACATTCCTTTGGAGGGCATGGTTCAAAGTTATGATTCGAGTGGACCACGTTGGGATTTTCGAACGTTCGACCTGAGCCAGCTGCAATGCTACCACGGGTTTCTGGTGCCAGGCCAATGGAACCGCGATTCTCTTGAGGCGACTTTGCACCGACTTCCATATGGAGTAGAGCACTTCAATGAGTCCTCGGCTAGCTGAGATTGTTTTTTGTGTTGTTTTCCGTTTGATTCCCAGGGTTAGTAAATTAAGATCAAATGCTCCTCCATTTTGTGTAGCCTCATTCAACATTACTAACATTTATGCTGCCGCGAAGGAAACTATGTGTTTGACAGTTTGAAACATTTACATGTGCTGCCCACCTAAAAACTGTGCAAGCAAGCATAACTTAAAAGTTAGACTTTCGATCAAAAATGTGCTGCTCACCTAAAAACTGTGCAAGCAAGCATAACTTAAAGGTTAGACTTTCGATCAAAAAAGGATACTGCCGAAATATGCGGAAACTATACTATAGTTGACCAACACCTCGAGAAAACAAACACACTGGAGAGACTGTGGTTGACAAAAACCTCAGACCATGTTTAAGACATTCTGAGACATAGTCTTTGCAGGTTGTTTTGTTGTACTGGTGGGTTTTCTCGAAGAGAGAGTATAGAAACCCGCCATGCAAGAAATTAGTATTTGCATGTCCCTTTTTTGGAAGCATGCTCAATCCATCTCAATCCCCTGTAAAACGATAAACGATAAATAAGAAAAAACGATAGCCCCCGATGACTCTTGTGGAAAACCTGTGGCATGCGAGAAGTGGTGTGAAGAAAACGCGTGCACACACACACAAACAGAAAACAGGCACCTGCTGTTGGACATGACTCAGCCTCATATTGAGGCAACTAATGTGTTGAAACCTGTGCAAGCCAGTGCACAAACCAGTGCTGTCACTCACCTATTCGCACTTGCTTGCCCTATTTGTGGAGCCAGACAACCTCCTTCCAAGAGCACGGTCTGCCACTCGCAGCACGGTCTGCCACTCGCAGCTCGTCCCCGGATCGACCCGTCTCGTCGTCGCGTCGAACGGACCAACGACGGAACGGAGGTCATTTGGAATTCATTTGGGACATGTCCGGTCGACCAGGAAGAGCCAATGACATCCCAAGCAGCAGGTCTGTATACATTATAACAAAGGATCCATGGGACTGCCATATTTGCCGATCAGTTGGGGTGGTTTTAGGGTCAATGTAGGTAAATATATGGCATACATGGAGCATTTGGGTTACATACGGTGATTACATATACAAGTCACAAGTCGATGTCATGCAGGTCTTCCCAATCTGATGACATTTTGTCAATCTGTATGCACAATCCTTTCTCTTGCCGTAGGCTGCTGGCCCCATCTGCCTCCTCACGCACGGCAGTACATGAAGAATTTCTAGTGACGTTAAGTCTTCGCGAGTCGTCGTCTCTGCACGGTGCTGGTGATGAGATCGGCTCCTGGAGCCAAGGGCTTCCACTTGGAGGGCACCAGTTCCGGTAGCCCGGCAGTTCATTCTCGCTCCGGTGTGCCCCAGGGCCCCCAGGGCACAGTCGCTGTCCTAGGGTTGGCCTCTCCTAGGGGTTGGCACGGAAAGATGGACAAGAGCAGTCTCAAGCAGCTGCAGTTTCCGTGGCAAATTTGCCAAGTGACGTTTTGACACCTGCAAATTGCCAAAGAGAAAGAAGAACTCTGTGTGGATTTGTGCAATATGTTGCATTTCTTTGTTCCAGGAAGATCGGCCAGCGTGGGTCAGCACGTTCCTGTGACTCCGTAGAACAATGACATTGCAATTATCACATGTTTGACCACAACAAATCAGAAAAGTGTCAATTACCTTTTGCACCCTTTTGTTTGCCATGTCTTTACATTGTTCACATCATTATGCTCATATATCAACTCATATCATGTTCACACATCATGTTCACGCAGCGGTTGTCTAAAGCATGGGTAATTTGGGGATGGGAGAGCATGGCAGAACAAATCACAAAAAAAGGCGGGAAAGGAACCATTAATATACACAAATGTTTATGTATATGTATATATATATATATATATGTGTGTGTGTGTGTGCTTCACATTTGTCTCCAAGTGTCTTACGAATCAGCAAGTCCAAGGAGTGTATGGTGTACTATTGTGCCAAGGCCTCCCACCCCCCTGGACCTGCCAGCCTTTGGCAGCGATTCTTACACCGCTTGCTGTGCAAACGTCCACCACCCGCCGAGCCCGAGCGGCTGCACGTCCCACCTTCCAGACGGCGGCAGGGATCGATCAGAATGATGGAGTGGGCTGCACCACCCTGGCTTCAGGAGCAGCGTCAGCGGCATGGTCGGTACTAACCAGCCTCACCAGGAAGCCGTTTTCTGAGAAGGATTCCAGACTTCATTGCTCACATGGTTGGTCGTTTGTTTAATTCCATCATATTCCATCCCATGCTGAGCTGTACCGGAGAGCACGGGTAGAAAAGAACTTCAGCGCCACCGATGTGTGCGAGTGGTTCAGTTCAGGATCCGCACAACACTTTCTCACAGGGCTCATGGAACCTCAGAGAATTACAGTGGTTTCAGAGGTTCGATGGCACAATCCTCGTAGTCTATCTGGACCCACCTCTGAAGGACATTGTAAGGTGTGTGTATTTATTGAATTTTATTGATTTATTCTGAAACCATGGCGAAAAGGCTGTGAAACAGCCAGGGGCGCTCCATATGAGCTCCCGTTTGGGCTGGACTTCCTGAAGCTTCGATGGTTGGTGTGGGTGGAGTGTCAAGGGGTCGGTCTGACGGGGGAGCCACACGCCGTGGATGAAATTCCCGGATCGACGTCCACACCGGCTGTCGACGGTGTCGACCAAACTGGTGCCGCCAAAGAACGGTTGAACGATGTTCACCCAAACACCGAACTGGGAAGAGATGATCTGAATTGATCAGATGTTCTACTAAGTGACAATGGGTGGTGTAGTGAGCTGCAGGGTCCGTTTTCGCTTGAACCGTTGGCGCCAGGCGCGGCATCATCTATGACAAATGGCCCTTCCGCTTAGACATTGATACAGAGTACCAGGTGTGGGAAAGAGACGCAATGATTGGAATGTGGGCGTGGGTTTTTAGATGGTTTTAGCTACTCGTTTAGGGCAAAGTGACCTAAAGACAACTGTTCAAATTTTTTCTGATAACATGTTGTGGGTAGAAGTGGTGCTGTTTGGTTAGTTTTGTTCTGTTTGTACTTGCTGGCAACAGATTTGTCATCGAAATGGCTCTGTCAATGATGGATATGTTTTGACTACAATACAAACCATGCACCATTCTCTAATACAAAGTTGGCACCAAGCTTGGATTGTCTTGAACTGTCGAGGGATCCTTGTGACTTGTGACTGCATCATGCAAAAGAAGTCAAAGAGATATATAATATAATATTAGGTTTTGGGGGATTTTGGCGGAGTAAATGCTGCAATTTGCTTATGCCCACACCACCGATGGGACCGGTGGATCCACTAATCATTTTGGTGGGTTCCTGATGATGACCTCTAGTCACTCTAGTCTTCCAACCGATGAGAGATCCAGTGTAAATTCGTTGCTCCCCGTGAACACTTCCCAGACACTCCCATGGGACTGCCATAGGACTGCCGATGTCCGGACCGGGCACAGTCCACGGTGCCAGGACTGGATCCTGGTGGCGGCGCCTTGGGACCGGAGGAGGGTTTGGAGGGACCGGAGGTGGGCCAGGGGGGGCGGAGGTTGACAGGTCTACGCTGGGGGTGGTGAGAGAGGAATCCGCGGAGGACCTTCCTGCTGCCCTTTTTAGACCTCTTGTGTGACCTCAATCCATCAAAAGCTACTGAGAAGTTCCTGGGGAGAAAAGACGGAATTGTTTGGCACACGTGTTACGCAGGTCAGTCCAGCTAGGCTTTTGCTCTGAACAAATGCCGCTAGAAGCGTCTCATTACACCTAAATTCCTATGATCTTTGATCTTTGTGGCATCCGTGTTTCTTGTGATGTTTGCAAAGATCCAATATTGATTTCATTTTGTTGTTCAACTACCACCCTGCAGACCCTGCGGACTTGTGCATTCGGGATGGTGGGATCTTCGCGACCCAAGCTTCGGCACAGCGACCCAGCACAGCTGGAGACAGATCAAACCCTCCGCCCAGCAAAAACACCTCAAGGAGCAAGAACCCCTCACATATACACCTCTTTGGTGGAAAAACGAGGTGCTTCACAAACACCAATAAGTGTCTTACGTATATATAGTTAGTTATATATCAACCAAGTGGACCGCTTTCGATTGCAGTATATCTTCACCCCGGCAAAGCGCAACATAGGAACACAATGTGGATTTCAACAAGATAACGGTAGGATAGTCCAGGCTTAGTCCATTTGTCGGTGACCCATTTTCAGTGCTTGGTGGGAGCGGAGGTTTAGTGCAGTAGATGAAGGCCTTGCTCAAGGGTCCAGGGCCATCCTGAGGATGCCTTTGGTCCCAAAGACCATTCTCTGGAAGTACTTTCACCTCTAAGACCATCCTCAGGTACCTGGACCCTATGGGACTGAACCCATTCGCGGGAGGTACCTGAACCCCTACTTCCGACCGGGGCAGTCCCTGTAGCGCTGAGGCCTGCTTTGTGGTGCTTTGCCACTCGCACTGATTTCCGTGGCTGGTGATTTTCACTTTCCGAAAAAACCGTCGAAAGCACGAGGGGTGAGATTTCCCAGACACTCCATGGGACTGCCACATATGCCGATCAGTTGGGGTGGTTTTGGGGGTCAATGGGGTGGCATATATGGCAGTCCCATGGGTCGTGTCTGGGTGTGTGATTCTTTCCCCTGGTCGGAGATGCTTCAACCAAGTCTTGGCAGAGATGGAACTGCCGGAACTGCATGTGGACGAGCACGATCAGTTCCTTTGCGGGGGCGTGTCTACCATTGCCCTGCTACCATGCGCTGACAAATCAGCGCACTGAGTGTTCCATACCGTTGCCAGTAGAGTTTCCCGTTGTGCCTTAGGGGTGGTGCATGATTCATCATGATAACATGTTCTTAGGGTTAGCTGGTCTCTCACCCAAAAAATATGAGATCCATCAAGCAACGATTTGACCGATGGGCTGTCTTCTCATGGTGTGCCTTGTGCCTTGCGCCTGGTCACCCTGGTCTCCCACCCAGCTCCGAGATGGGTCGCTATCCGTTATTTTCTGCTTCCAGTCTCTGGGATGATGTGTTGCCCCACAGTCGGACCTTGCTCCACATTTTGGGCAAGGACTTTTCTGGTGTTTTTGCGGGTCAAAAGCATCTCGTGGAAGGAAGAGTTGAGTGCAACCTTTGGTTCCAGGTGTAGATCCCTTTCGTTCCAGCTGGTGGGCCAAAAGCATCTCCATTCCGACAGCTTGAAGCAAGGCCGACTTATCCATTCTGGCAGGTGGGGAGGTCATGCGCAGGTTTGGAAGGCCGGCCGACTCAGCTTCTGCCCACGGAACAACGCCGACTGTACCGTTCAATTCGTGTCCGAGTCTGTTCACCGGACACCGGACGGTCCCCCGTGCACCGGACGGACTGTGTTGACCAGCCCCGACGGTTGACTGGACTCGGTGTGAAAAACGACCAGGTTAAGTGGCCAAAGTGGGAGGCTGACGACACCCGTAGGGATCCAGGAAAGTACCGAGCCTCAGGTTCGGTACTTTCCTGGATCCGACAATGGCACCTACATAACGAACTCTAACAGTGTCGAACACATCACCTAACCTGAGAAGGTACGACTGGACCCCTTGGGCAGAACCAAAGTGGCCAAAGTGGCCAAAGACGTCCGACGAAGGGGGTGCAGGTCCCTATTGAAGAATTCCGCATCGTTCCACTGTTGACCATGATCATCCACTTCTGGCCTCAAAATGGGGTTTAGAATAAATCCACCACATGAGTCCAACTCAAAATGGCTCCATCCAACCGAGGCATTTGGTGCCTGCCATGCATTTGCGGACGCTTAACGAGCCGCACTGGAAGGGCCTTCTCCTCCCTAGTGCCTTGGTTGGAGGAGAAACTTCGGGGTGCCGAGCAAAGAGAAACTAAAGTAAACCCCAAAGGGACCGAAAATCAGACGTGGTGCTTGGCCCTTGCTTCATATGTGAAACTATTGTAGACACAGGTGCCGGTGTATGAATCCGCTTTTATTGTTGGTGTTTTTTGATTGCTTTCATCATATTGTGTGGTTGAAGGAATGGTGAACAGCCAGACTTCCCACTTTTTATTGCAAGCCTGTTGGATTCCAATAGCGGTCAGAGGTGCATTTTCAGGTTAGTATATTCCAGTCCTTGCTATTTGGTGTAGTTTCTTGTTGCTCGAACTAGGCCAAACTGGTTGACTCTCAAATGCACACCTACCCGGGTTTTGAAAGTCACCCAGACTGAGATCCCAGATGCTTGAGGCTCAAGAACCCTTTTTCTGGGGGTCACAAAGCGGGACTCTCACTTTTTGGGGTCACGAATTGAAGAAGCTGGAGGTAGGTAGTAGGTATTAACGGTACATGGAAAATATAGAAAACCATATGTCCCAAGGTGCCCACGGTGCTGATGCAGCCTTTTAGTCTACGGAATCTCCCAAGTTTGACCTTCTGCTTCTCCCGTTGCCCCCCGGTGACTCGGAAGCCCCGAAGCCCGTTGCGCCAGTGGGCGGTGACGAAAGAACGCATCACATGGTGGAAGTCACATGGCATGGCCACTGGGAAGACCATGCTTCCTCGACAGACAGGTGTTCTTTTTTCATCACTTCCAGGATGTCCACGTCGGGGGCATCAGCTTATTTGCAACCAGCAAGCCTGTAGCTGGCAAACACTGCTGCAACGGCCAGGCATTTGACTTCTGTCGCCGACCATGTGATCTCAACACACTCACAATGATTCAAACGTTTATGTTTGAGGGTCTTTGGCACAACGTGCCCATTATATAACAAGTGTCGGGCTTTAGGGTGTGTCCCATTACAAGCAAGTTGGCCAAAGAGCATCATGAGAAAGGCCTTTACCAACCATGCACGTCTATCCAACACCAACACCACCGCCACCAGCATCATCATCATCATCATCATCATCATCATCATCATCATCATCATCATCATCATCATCATC